TAAAACCAGTTCAGATAAACCAGTTCAGATAAACCAGTAAAACCAGTAAAACCATTTCAGATAAACCAGTAAAACCAGTTCAGATAAACCAGTTCAGATAAACCAGTAAAACCAGTAAAACCATTTCAGATAAACCAGTAAAGCCAGTCCAGATAAACCAGTTCAGATAAACCAGTTCAGATAAACCAGTAAAACCATTTCAGATAAACCAGTAAAACCATTTCAGATAAACCAGTAAAACCAGTTCAGATAAACCAGTAAAACCAGTTCAGATAAACCATTTCAGATAAACCAGTAAAACCATTTCAGATAAACCAGTTCAGATAAACCAGTTCAGATAAACCAGTAAAACCAGATAAACCAGTAAAACCAGTTCAGATAAACCAGTTCAGATAAACCAGTAAAACCAGATAAACCAGTAAAACCAGTGTGATCCAGTCTGCAGCGCCCCCAGCAGGCCGTCAGAGACGCCCTGCGGATTCTTTGGCCGCTTTGTTTCTGTAATGAAGGAAATTATGAGTGAAAAGCTGAGTTGATGATGATGATGATGATGATGATGAGAGCTCACTAAGTGGATCTGTGTAAAGAGGAGAAGAAAGGAGAGTTTCTCTGGCTCCCCCTGCCCCTCCCCCGCCTGTTGCTCCCCTGCAGACCCATTAGAGTTTAAAGAGAACCTGATTACAGCCGATCCTCTGGAGTCATGTTTGTTCCTCCGTCTCATCCTTTCTTCTTCTTCTTCTCCTCTTTTCTCCTCCGTCTCATCCTTTCTTCTTCTCCTCCGTCTCATCCTTTCCTCCTGTTGTCTCTGTGTTTCTGCTGATCATCCCTCTCTCTTCTCTTCCTCCTCCTTCCTGTTATCCGCCGGGTGGAGGCGTTCCTCCTGGCTCCGCCTTCGGCCCACTGACCCACGGCTGCGTTGCCAGGTTTATTTTGACCTCTGACCTCTTTCTGCTGCATCATCTCAGATTTGTGTCAGAGTGTGGTTGTGACTTCGCCTCCTGACTCGGAGTGGAGGCTTTCATAAGAGCAGGAAGAGGAGCGGATTTAAAGGGCCAGCGTCACGTTTCAACGTTTTAATCTGCAGTGTTGCTTTGATTCTTTCATGTTTCAGAAATCCTTTAGTCTCCATGGCAACCATTCAGCTGCAAAATGTCTGGGTGGACCTAGCCCCGCCCCTGAGGCGCAGCTCCTCCCCCACTCAGCTCCTTCAGACTAGCCAGCAGCAATTAGCAACCAGCTGCTGAGCTCGTTATAGGAGCTGCTGCTCAGAGCAACGCTGGTAAAAATGTTAAAGGGTTAATAGAGGAACCATGTTGGGACGACTTCCTGGAGGCGGAGCTTCAGGAAGAGCAGGAGACAGAGGCCCAATTTCACGGCACTAAATCAGGAACTAACATTTCTTAGGTCACATTTTTTATTTACAGTATTTTTATAACAACTGAATGTAACATAGTTACTTTATTTAGCTATAAAATGGAACCATGTGCCTGGAAAACAGATGGTACCGGCCCTTTAAGACCCAGTTCTAATGATGTTCTGGATGTTTCAGCTCAGATTGTTGGTTCAGTGTGTGTGTGTGTGTGTGTGTGTGTGTGTGTGACTGCAGTGATCACCAGATGTTCATCAGTTTGGGCTGAGTGGCTCCAGCTGAAGCTCTGAGGATTTTCCTTTTACGTTTCCGATCCTCCAGATTCCCGACCGATCCGGAACGATGCCATGAGAAACAGTTTCAGGTTGAAGAAGTTTCAGGTGAAAATCGAGCCTCTCAGGTTTCAGTTCGTCCTGAAACAACCAGAAAAACACGTGAAGCTGTTGCCATGACGCCACCAACCAGGCTGGACTCACTTCCTCTGACGAGCCTCCAGGAGCCGATCAGGACCTGAGGATGATGGATGTTTAATCACACACACACACACACACACACACACACACACACACACACACACACACACACACACTGGCTGAAATCAGGTTTTCTTCATGCTCACAGATAAAGGAACAATCCACCTGAAGTTAAACTGTTTTCCTTCCAACACGTTAAATATTTTCTGATTCTTCTGGGTCGGTTCAGACGGGCTTCATGATTCTCACTGCGGGTTTTAACAGGCATCGTTTGTATTTACCATCAGTCATGATAAAAGTTTGGATTCATTCTGACAATAAATTCCATTTAATGATGTTTGAAAACCTGAGAAACTTTCATTGTTGCTGGAATCTTTATTCTGTAAATAAAACAATCTCTTGCTTTGGGAGAGATTTTCTTCGCTGGTTCTGGAAGGTTCTGGGATGGTCAGCAGCTTTGACCCGTTTCTGTGGTTCTGAAACCAGGTTCAGCTGGTTCCGGGTCTCTCAGTGTTCATGAGTCATTTCTGCGCTCTGAAAATGTTCCAGTCCTGTTTCTCTGTCCGTGGTTCTGAAGCGGTTGTCATGGTTCTGTCCGTGGTTCTGAAGCGGTTGTCATGGTTCTGTCCGTGGTTCTGAAGCGGTTGTCATGGTTCTGTCCGTGGTTCTGAAGGTGAAGACATGTTTCTGTTTCTCCTGAAGGTTCTGATCCGTTCTCATTGTTCTGTTTCCAGAGGAACCGGCCCGTTCCAGCTGGTTATTCTGACCTGCTGCAGGTAAAGACGCCACCCTTCCTGTTCGCTGACCTCTGACCTTCTCCTTGTTCTCTCTGTTGCTGCAGTTGTGCTGCTGAACTCCAAGGAGACGCAGGCAGAACTCGGCTGGACCTCCTTCCCCCCAAACGGAGTAAGTCACCTTGTTCTGGCTACGTTACCATCTCTGAGCGTTTATCGTCTCCATTCATCAGCGGCTGTAATCCAGGCAGCGCGCTGCGGGTCCGGCAGCGGCCCGGTGGGTCCGGCAGCGGCCCGGTGGGTCCGGCAGCGCGCGGCCGCAGCAGCAGATAAATGCTCTCCTCCGTGTCGATCGATATCGTTTGTGATAAGTTATGGCTGGAAGACAAATGGGCTTTTTAAAAGAACAGCTCTCTGCCAGAACTGTTTGTCACACACTCCCACCTGACCCAGCACACACACACACACACACACACACACACACACACACACACACACACACACACACACACAGTGTCTCTGTGTGTAATAAATGAGCAGCAGCTGTTTGTGCCAACAGCGTCCCAGCTTGCTGCCGGACGGTTCTGGACCAGATGGAACCAGAACCAGAACCTCATCAGTTCGGGTCATCGGGTCTCATGGCAGCGGCTTCGGTTTGTGCCAGAGATCCAGATGCAGTGATTGTTCTGTTCCTGATTCAGATCAGTTTTACATGGAGCATGTTCTGATGTTTTTCCTTCTGCGCTGCTGGAAGCTTCAGAAAAACATTTTATTGCTGTTGAATCCAAATGAAGCGGGCCGAGCTCGGCAGAACGGATCCGTTTCAGCCTCCTGCTGCTTCACATGCAGATCAGATCTAATCCCTCAGATGACTTTAGATTTTCAGATGTTTCCTGAACGCCACAGTTTTTGTTTCTCCAACAGGAGCAGATGGAGCGAGTAAAAATCCTGGCACAAATTCCCCAAACAGATTCATGAACTTATATGTTTGCAGAAACATGAAAAACTCAGTCATATTTAATATTTCTACATTTTTAGGAGTTTTATGATGGATTTTGCTTGAAAATGCCTGAAAATCATCTAATAGTCATGAAAACATGGACTGTGCTCTGAGGTTTTATGTGTTCATTAAATCAAGCCGTGTTGTTGGAGTGAGGATCAGATGGATCAGATCCCAGATCAGCCTCAGTGACTCACATTCAGCCCAGAAACAAAGAAAAGCTTCTACAGATCAGCGTGAGTCAAAGCTGGAAGCAAATTTAGATTCTGACTGTTTCTGCGTCAGCTGACACTTTCTCTGTTTGGAGGTTTTAAAATCCTCCCAAAAATTTCAGCAGGATGAAACTGAACAGCTGACAGTGACTCAGCGCTGAGGATGATGAGGAGGATGAGGATGATGAGGATGATGAGGAGGATGAGGAGGGAGCTGTTACACAGTTACAGAGTTAAAGATTAATGCCAATAATTTGTTGTTTTTAGCCTGTTATGAGCTAAATGTTTCATTACCAACCTAAATATTTCGCTACAGCAGCTAAGTATTTAGCTAGCTACTAAAATATTTTGCTTGCAGCCTAAATATTTAGCGCAATCAAAAATATTTAACTTCTGATGATGACGTAACAGGTCACCGGGTCAGGCTGTGCTAACGCGGCTTCTGTCTTCCTGCCAGTGGGAGGAGATCAGCGGCGTGGATGAGAAGTACAAGCCGATCCGGACCTACCAGGTGTGTAACGTGATGGAGCCCACGCAGCAGAACAACTGGCTGCAGACGGGCTGGGTGGCGCGCCGCGGCGGACAGCGCATCTTCGTGGAGCTGCAGTTCACGCTGCGCGACTGCAACAGCATCCCCGGCGTGGCCGGTACCTGCAAGGAGACGTTCAACCTGCTGTACGTGGAGTCGGACCGGGACCTGGGCGCCGTGACCCGGGAGGACCGCTACTCCAAGATAGACACCATCGCCGCCGACGAGAGCTTCACGCAGGGCGATCTGGGGGAGAGGAAGATGAAGCTCAACACGGAGGTGCGGGAGATCGGACACCTCAACCGGAAGGGCTTCCATCTGGCCTTCCAGGACGTGGGCGCGTGCGTCGCCCTGGTGGCCGTCCGCGTGTACTACAAGCGCTGCCTGGCCACCGTGCAGAACCTGGCCGTGTTCCCCGACACGGTGGCCGAGGCCGCCTTCGCCACGCTGGTGGAGGTCCGCGGCGGCTGCGTCAATAACTCGGAGGTGGACAGCGACAGCCCTCCCAGGATGCATTGCAGCGCCGAGGGGGAGTGGCTGGTGCCCATCGGGAAGTGCAGCTGCAGCGCCGGCTACGAGGAGGGCCACAGCAGCTGCGAAGGTAGGCGGGGCCAGAGGGGAGATGGGCGGGGACGTGGGGTGATGGGCGGGATCAATGGGGAGATGGGCGGGACCAAAGGGGAGATGGGCGGGACCTAAAGGAGGAAACTGGAGAAGGGATCTGGGACCTTCACAGATTTGTTCCTTCTCTCAAGGGCCAATAGATAAACGGTTTGTCTCATTGAATCATGACCTCAGTTCCTTCGGTTGGTTTCTTTCCTCCGTAGCCAGGCTGGTTATTGACTGATGGTTGAAGAATCAGCAGCAGTTTGTTCTGGAATCAGAAATGATTTCTCATTTGCAGATTTAGTTTTGTTTGTCAGACCTGCTGCGTCTTCTCAGACCGACTCTGAAGGTCAGCAGGTCGCTTTGGGTCACAGAGTTCAGGTCAGACTTCCTGTTTTTATTAGATGAAGATGAGGAATGTGATGGTGAAGAAGTGGAGCAGTTACCTGCTCAGGTGGAACTTCTCAGCTTCTGATTGGCTCAGGTAGAGTTGATGAGGCTGATCGTTGCTTTGCAGTGTGTGTCACGCTGGTCGCCATGTGAGTTGTGGTGTGTGTGTGTGTCTCAGCAGTGTGAACAGCTTTGAGGTGTGTGTGTGTGTGTGTGTGTGTGTGTGTGTGTGTGTGTGTGTGTGTGTGTGGCTCAGCATAGTGACTAAGTGTCCAGGCGTCCCACGTTGTTTCTGTGGCGTTGACAGAAACTCCTCCACCGTTCAGCTGGTCGGCATGAAGACGCCTCAGGCTTTTATTGCTGCAGCTTCACTGGTGGCACTGGGCAGCATACTGGGAGCACTGGGAAGGCTTTGAGGGGTATAAACTCTGTTGTTGATGGAGCTTGCTGATGTCCTCAGATAAACTCTGGTTCTGAAACTCTGCAGATGTTCATGAAAGTGGTAAAAATTCGACATTGATGCTGCGACTTCCTGAGTCCAGACTGAAGGAAAACAAAACCTTCTGCTGATCCTGTTCTTAGATTGAACTGGAAAACGAATTCAGTAAAACTCAGGAACTACAAGGTGAACGGTTCTGGTATCAACATAAAGAAACACTCCAGAGAATACTCTGGAAGTCTACTCCGATTACTGAGTGAGACAAATAAATATGGCACGCTGTAAAAAATGACAAAAAATAATAATAATAATAAAATTCTGATAAAATACATTTTATGTTGTGGATTTCCCTTTGAAGGTGTGCAGTTGCAATCCAGAACCTACAGAACCTACAGGACATACTCCGAGGATTTACTAAATTTAATCCCTAAAATAAATAAGACAGACATTTTGGAAAAGTATTGGTTGATTAAAGTCCAGATGAATATCCCAAATATCCGTTTATTGCAATTCTAAATCTCTTTTTTTCTTGACTTTTTTTTTCCACCAACTGATTTCTTGGTATAAATGTTTATTACAACTAATAACGTTCTTCTCGTTTTTGAAACAAGAAAGGAGTCAAAGTACTGCTCAGAAGTCCTCACCTGTGTGAAACAGTGCGGGACATTTTCTCTGCAGCTCATTGGTCGATTTGGGTGACTGACACATCCAATAGCCAATAGAATCAGAGGGAGTTTACAAAATCACAAAGCAACGTCATACACCAATCAAAACGAGGGAAAATCCAACAGATACACTCCAGTCCGGTAGGTGGCGGTAAATGCACCTTACGTTGGTTTGCCAACCGCCAATAAAACGCAGAAGAAGCGGTGAAAAGGGAAGCCCGGAGTTTTTCACACGGTTTCCAATGAGACTGAAAAGTTGAAAATAGTGGGAACTGGATTAGCGACCTGAGTGGAAATATTTCCTCTAACGTGGATTCTGAGCAAAAGCAGCAAAGGTAGGATAAATTCCTGGTTTTGGCTTCGTGAAATGAGCTGGTTTTTGTTTTTGCCTTTTTTTAAACGTGTCGCTGTGATTCTGTATGATTGGAAACGGTTGGTGTCGGTGGGACGTTTTACCGGGTTTTCATCCGTTTTCGTCTTTAGCCGCTTAGTGCTGCTTGTGTGAGAAAATGTTGTTTCTATCACTCAGTCGAACTTTGCCTGTGGATGCAGTCCGACCATATTGGTTATTGTAAAATGTTTGGATTGATTTGTTGGCAGAAGTTCAGGATGAATGTTTGCTTGAAACGAAGGATTCATCTGCAGCTAAAACACATTATAGGGATAATATACAGATTTTTATTAATAATAAATTGACAACTGGGTGCAAAAAGTGCTTAGTGTGAGACTTTGACAGAACTTAAAGAGTTATTGGAGAACAAATTAGTTTTTATTTATCTTAAATTCAAAATGTTTATATTTTTGTACAGTTTTGGTTTCATTACTGCTTTGACTGTGTTGTTAGCGATTAATCATTATTAAATTAGTTGAGGATTATATATTTGATTAATCACAATTAATCTGATTGGTTCAGCCCTAAATTGGTTCCTGTTTTGGGATTTTTGGTCTGATTTTGTAAAGGTTCCACCTGAACACCTTGAACTGAATGAAGGAGAACCTCAAGGCTGATGACTCAGCCTCTTCTGTTTCTGCTCGATCTGTTTAGATCGATTAATCACGATTAATTGTTTGAGCCCTAATCAAGATGACCCTCCATGGCAGCTGCTGGAGACCCATCCAGGTGGGAAACATCCCTCGGTTGAGGGACGAGTTGGGAACCTTCAGGACGCGCAGCGTTGCTATGGAGACAGATGTCCTGATTTCAGACAAGTGAAAGAAAACTAACAGTCGGCCATATTAGTTCAGTCCAGAAGGACCTGCTGGTAACATTTTAGATAAATACTAAAGTCAGTACAGAGATCAAGTGTGGAAGCCTGAGTCAGGTGACCGTCGGAGACGTGGAGGACAGAAAGTCCGGCAGGTGAAACTGGAAACATGGAGCGCTGCGCTGGAGTCTGAGGCGGCGGATCTGATGAGCTCATTGTTTCTGTAAACGCTGTGATTAAATGAAATGAAAGACAGGAGTCGGTTAAACGGTTGTTCCTGCTGCGCTTCCTGCTGCGCCTCTAATCGCATTTACTGACAAGCACAGAGAAACGGCAGCTTCCAGAGAAACATCCGAACCGTCGGCTTCAGAGCCGCTGATGGAACAGGAAAGATTCATTCTGACAGGAAACTGACGGCCTGCTCCAACGCTGATGTCTAACAGGCAGACAGAACCCAGAGGTTCTGATGACAGGAGGTCCGATTGGCTGCAGACGCAGCAATTCAATCTGCTAACACATTTCTATGTTCCTCCTGTTTTATGATAAATATGGAATAATGTTTTTAGGAATGTGGAGAAATGAAACTCCTCAAACCTGAAACTTTACAGAAATCTAAAAATTTCCTAAAGTTTTCATCTCAGCCTCGAATGTGACGAGAAAATAAAGTTTTACGGCAGTTCAGACGTGAAGGAGAAACAAGAACTGTTCTGATAATTCAGCTCAGGTTGTTTGGAAATGTCGTCTGCTGTTTGGACCCGACGAGGTTTGGTTTCCAGTGTCGTGTTCTGGTTCTGTTCTGAATGGGTTTGGAGCGGTTCTATCTGCAGCTGATAGAACCATCCATTTTCTAACACCCTGTCCTAGTGGGTCGGGAGCTGCTGCTGCCTCTCCAGCTAACGTTCTGGGTGAGAGACGGGGTCACCTGGACGGGTCACCTGGACGGGTCACCGGGACGGGTCACCTGGACGGGTCACCAGTCTGTTGCAGGGCAACACAGAGACAGACAGGACACACAACCATGCACACACACACTCACACCTAGGGAGAATTTAGAGAGACGAATTACCCAGCATGCACAGGGAGAACATGGAGACTCCATGCAGTGGCTAGTGATGTCATCAGATCACTCCACTGAGAGTGACGATGATGAAGGTCCACCTGTTCCTCAGGTGATATCATTACCTGAACACACACACACACACACACTCGGTGCATGTGGAGCTGCAGCGCCAACATCTCCCTCTGCACCACAGCTATTGATCAGCTGTAATGCTCTACTAAACTGAGCACTTGTGCTGGGACTTCTCATCCACACACACACACACACACACACACACACACACACACACACACACACACAGTGCAGATGTCTGTTCTGCACAGACAGATCGGTGTGTTTCTCTGTTCGCTGTGAGAAACAATGAATGCAAAGCAGCCAATCAGGGCGGAGCAGAAGAACAAACTAATCATGCTGCGTGTGTGTGTGTGTGTGTGTGTCTCTTTCTGTGTATGTGTGTGTCTCTTTCAGTGTGTGTGTGTGTGTGTGTGTGTGTGTCTCTTTCTGTGTGTGTGTGTGTGTGTGTGTCTGTGTGTGTGTGTGTGTGTGTGTGTGTGTGTGTGTCTTTCTGTGTGTGTGTGTGTGTGTGTGTGTGTGTGTGTCTCCCTCTGTGTGTGTGTGTGTGTGTGTCTCCCTCTGTGTGTGTGTCTCTTTCAGTGTGTGTGTGTGTGTGTGTGTGTGTGTGTGTGTGTGTCTGTGTGTGTGTGTGT